TCTGTCTGTATTATACAGATATTTGTGAGACAATCACCTCTACAGTGTTGGGGAAATTATTGTTGCTTTCTGAGCATTTCTACCATAATTTCTGCAATTAGTGAAGGAACTCCCGAGCTCAGCTGAGGAAAGCAAACATATCTTTCTTTCAGGTGGATTTACCCTATTCGTGATCCGTCTCGTTTTCTTCAACATGTATGACGTCGCCGGTGTATGCAACGGTTGCCTTGCTGGGTTGGTAAGAAGATTCTTCTCTCGGCCGAAGTGGGAATTTCAAAATCAGTGTGCGGGGGGAAAATATGCACATACGTTGGTGTACAATCCGGAAAATTCTCATGGATTCGTGTACATTTCTACCTGAATTCGTATGCGAACTCGTACTATCAGTGAGGAAACTATCGAAACTTTCATTCCTCCAACACTGGAGTTTCACGCCCCGTTTCACGTGAAGTGGCCTAATACTCTGTGAAAAAGGCGATTCTATTCGCGGTGATATGCATCAGTAGTCGTGAAATATATTTTTCGTATCACGGCTGCCCGTGAAACTCCAATATTGAAGTCAGGTTTCCATCACGGCTGGGTCGGCTAACGTATCATCATTCAGCGCGTTAATCATCGGCATCATAGGAGGGTGTCTGTAAGAAAATTTCCCAGATCATAAATTTTCCTAAACTTTTTTTCTCAGTTACCAAACTGCTTCCCGAGTCGTTGCATCACGACACATCGACGATCCCATTGACGCGTTTGCTGTGCATGGTATGAGTGGAATTTGGGGGACTATAGCGTGTGTGCTATTTGATAACGGGAGTGGCTTCAGGTGAATACCATAATTTTTCATTATCGTAATTTTTGTCTCTTTTTCAGTGTTTTTGGACCAGCAGGAATTACTCGTATTGGGCCGAATAACTACGAGGCTTCGGTAAACGTCGGGACGCAACTAGGGGTAATCTTCAGGTGACTTCCCTCGAATAAGTTTGTACGTTTTTCAGTGAATCTTTTAGGATTGTTGATGATAATATTATGGTCAGGATTTTGGAGCGCTGGTGTATTCCTCGTATTTAGGAAGGTAATTTTTTTCCATTTTTTTATCGCCAATTTTTGATTCAGTTCGACCT